ATGTTTTTGGGGTAACAATAGAAAAGCTGAATATGTAGAAAGAAACCACAGCAACCTGTTGACCTGAATCTGCACCATGCTGGCTCTGCATATCAGGATTCACTTTACTGTGGAAGGCTGCCAAACATGGCTCTTGGCATGAGGCCAAAGAAATGGATCTGTGTGCTTGTCAGTGGATGTGAAAGTGCTGAGATTTATCTCTCGAGAAACCCTTGTGACACAGCTCCTCTTTTAAATAACGCTGCTTTCAGACAGTAGAGTTTCAGTGATGTGGGTTTCAGCTGCACTGTCAAGAGGTGCCATCCTTTGGATGAGACATACAACCGAGTTCCTTTCTGATGTTAAAGATCCTACAGTTATAATAATCCTCGCATTTGATACAGAGCCTTGTCACATCTTCGAGACGTCTCAAAGCGCTTCACAGAATATACTGTAAAGTGAATTGACTGTATATTTTGTGGGTGAAACGCAGCAGCCCATTGCGCACAGCAGCGTCCCCACAAAAAGCCGTGGATTGAGTGACCAATTTATCATTTTTTTTTGAAGGAACCATTACCCCGAAAAAAGCGATCTGCCAATCAACGAATAACCGGGTTCCTACTTACTGCAACGTAAACAGAGACGTGTCGAGCAAGGAAACTTGCCTAACATTTTGCCCTGCTGGGAATTGAACTTGCGAGTGCTCTAACCACTGAGCTACATGGCTGTACAACTCGAAAGGAGAAGGGAGTTGCACTTGCAACAAGACAGAATAACAGGAGGAGATAGGTTTAGAGTTGTAAAGGGCTATTGAAGGACAGACATCAGGAAGTTTTTCTTTACACGGAAAGCAATCAGCGACTGGAATAGGTTGGCAGGAAAGGTGGTAGAGGCCAGGACACAGCTTGACGCTATGATGGAGGAAAGGAACGGTGGGTTTCTGGAAAGATGAGATCGGAGGGGTCAAGGAGCCACACCTCCCTTCATCCAAAACAATCTCGTGATCTCCTGAGTTATCAAAATGTGTTGAGCAGATAAACGCCTGGTAACCCTACGTTTCAACAGCACCATCTACAGCCCTGATATCAATCCATTATTCATCTCAGTAGTTTACTAGAAAGCACGGTGCATATTGTTGCAAGTCTTGCCGATCTGCTATGTGGGTCTGTTCTCGTAATGAATATTAACCCACCTTTAAATTTGAGGAAAAATCGGGTCTGTCAGGCACCGCTCTCATATCCATGTGCCCACTGCTTATTTCATGAGGTTCTTGGGTTAATTGGCTGCCTCGTTTGGCCCACCACATATGCGGTCAATTCACTTGACAGTATATTCTGTGAAGTGCTTTGAGACGACTCGAAGACGTGATAAGACGCTATATCGTATGCAAGGATTACTAGTAGTAGTATTATTGCAGTACTATACTACATACTACATGTACTACTATACTACATACAGATCTGGTCCCCGCAATGTAAGGCCAAGGCCTGGTAGCAGTGCAGAGGAGGGTGTGAAGCTGATCCCCAATCATACAGGAATCAGCTATGACCAACCGGCAAACAAGCTCTTCAGTCTTGTAAGAAGACATCTCAGTTGTCTTCGGACAGTTGTTCGACATTTTAAAATGAGATTGAAAAAGTAAACCCAGATCAATACTTTAGGATGCAACAAGAGGACATAGGTTCAGAGTTGTTAAGGGCAATTTCAGGACAGGCACCAGGAAGTTTTTCCTTACACAGAGGGCTGGAGCAGGTTGCCAGGAAGGGTGGATGTGCCCAGGCTTTCCAGGGTTAGGGATGGGGTGCCTTGGGGAACGATTGCACACTGTAAAACTGGTGAATAGAAACAGGAGTAAGCCCTTCAGCCCATTGAGCTGATCTGTACCTCAGCTCCAATTACCGCCCTTGCCTCATATCCCTTGATATCCTGACCTTGCAAACCAAACGATTGCTTACTTGCTTGTTTGTTTGTTTTCTTGTTTGTCTTTTTCTTTGCAGCACCTGGAACTCTAAACTGGTGAGCCAGGGAGGAGTGTGGAAACAGACCTTTGATTGGCAAGGCCACAGAGTTTCTGTTCTTGGGGATGTTCTTTCCTTGCATGCCATGCTGACGCCAATGAAGGCTAAGATCAGTGCAGGCACAAGACAAGTTTTATTCTTCAGCTGTTCTCCAAAGGTTTCCAGAGAGTTTGAAGACTTTTAAAGCAAGCCGGATATCTGTCACACCGTTAGAAATGTCATTTTGCTGCAGGAACATTTTATAGCGAGTCTTATCGAACTGAACTGAAGTGAGCAGTCATTAATACCCTTCGCTGAGTCGTGATAAACTGCATTGTTACAAACTAAAACTCCACACTGTGCAGCGAATGATTGTTCACGATACTCATGGAAAAGTTTCCGTAAGCGATCGATTGAATTTAATCAAAACAAATTGATATAAATAATAAAAAATAATCCTTGCATTTGATACAGCGCCTTATCACGTCGTCGAGGCGTCTCAGAGCATTTCACAGGATATTCTGTAAAGTGAATTGACTGTACATTTCGTGGGTGAAACCCAGCAGCCAATTGCGCACAGCAGCGTCCCCACAAACAGTCGTGGATTGAGTGACCAAATTATTAGATTATAATAAGTAAAACAATTTCAATCTTGAAAACTACCAAGAGGTGAGAGATGCTCTGTTTCTTAATAGATTCAAGGATAATTAGGGCTTTGAATCTGCAAGAGAACGTCTAACAGTTCAACTTGCAAATATAAGTAATTTCTCACCGAAAAACATCTTCTGGCCAGTAGCGAGAATCGTTAACATTGTGAGAAGGTCACATTGGGAAGATTATTGTGCTGTGATGGAAAGGAAGTTGCCAGATGAGGTTTCCAACTGCAACAGCTCTTCCTCAGAGCAATAAACTGCAGCGAGCAGATGGTCTGTTCAACTGCAGCTAATCGGAATACAGGACTTGGATTCTGTACTGCCAGCAATCACATCAGTCCCTTCATCAATCTCCTCGTTAATGCATTGAGCAACGCATTCGATCAGAAAGTATTGTACTGAGGGAGCTGAGGTGCCTCAATTCTTCATCGAGATTTGGAGCAAAACTATTTAGCGCAATATTTGGAGCCGAGCAAGCAGAATGACAGTGAGATCTTTTTAATGTCAATCGTTTTATAACAATACTAACAATAACAATCCTTGCGTTTGATACAGCGCCTCATCACGTCTTCGAGACGTCTCACAGCGCTTCACGGTGTACGCTGTAAGGTGAATTGACTGCGTGTTTTGTGGGCGAAAGGCGCCAGCCCGTTGGGCGCAGCAGCGTTCGCCCACGCACACAGCCGTGGATTGAACGACCGAATTCTTCTTATTATTTTTTTTGAAAATGTCATTCGTTGATTTTTGTTGCCAAAAAGGTATCTGGAATTCAATTGGCAAAGATGAAAAGAATGGCACAAACAATGCAAATGTGTAAGATGGGAGAGAGAGAGAGAGAGAGAGAGAGAGATTAACGTTTGCCTTGGATGCTTTGCCCCAGATGGAATGACTTCATCCTTTGTCCATTTCTCAATTCTGCCTCAGGAATTCAATCAGTTGCTTAATGGTAAAAAGAAAAAAAGAAGTATAGATTAAATGCTGCTGTTTTTAAATTAAACTCAGGACCACTTGATTAAAAAAGCTGTCTCAGTTGTACTCCAGTGAGAATCCTCCAAAGAAGGTAATCTGAAGTATGCATATTTACATATATTAATGTGTATGTGATTATTACATGATGTGTGTGTGTACATATATAAGTCCGGTAGCTCAGTGGTTAGAGCGCTCGCCTCTCAAGTGAGAGGACCAGGGTTCGATTCCCATCAGGGCGAAATGTTGGGCAAGTTTCCTTACCCCACACGCCTCTGTTTGCCAAGCAATAAGTAGGAAACCCTGTTGTTAGTCGATTGGCAGATCTTATTTCCGAGGGTAATAATTCCTTCCAAATCAATAAAAAATCATTTGGACACTCACTCCACGACTGTTCGTGGGGACGCTGTGCTGTGCGCAATTGGCTGCCGCGTTTCACCCACAAAATATACAGTCAATTCACATTCCAGTGTATCCTGTGAAGCGCTTTGAGACGCCTCGAAGATGTGATAAGACGCTATATCAAATGCAAGGATTATTATTATTATTATATCAATATATTCCAACCAGCACTACCACCTACTATGTAATGCTCTAGGATCCTCCCAGGTATCTGATAGAGACAACAGAATTCTCTTCTACAGCTCTCCAGCGCAAAGTCTCACTGTTTCAAAACATTTCTCTTCACTACAACGTCATTCATTGCACATATCCTCCATCTCAATCATGTGAAACACGAGTAACAATTCGAGGTGTCATTAGCCAGAGCATTAAAGGAAATTTTCTTGATCGCTGTATGTCTGGTAAATTAAATCCTTTTGTTGCAACTTATGGTGCATCATTATGGTTGTGTGGTTTTCAAGAGATACAATTCAAAGGCTCATTAATCTTGTTTACAATTGCTGAACATTCCTTTAGTGAAACAGTCTTTTTAATGCTCTTTATCTCTCATTTATATGGCAATTCCAGCAACTAAATACTAAATGTACGCTGATTCAGCAGACGAGTTGTTTAGTTTTAATGATCTGACCAATAACGCTGTCCTGTCTCATTTAGGAAAGAATTTATTCGCAGCCGGGTGTAAGAATTTAAGCTTTGTTGTACGGCACAATGGTGAAGCAGTCAAGCCACTTGCTGTTCCCATGCTGATTGTAGATTAAATCAATACAGCATCTACTCAATCAAACACTTAGCTGGTTGAGAAATGGTATTGAATCAAAGACCGGAATGACTAACCGGTGACTGTGCTTTGGGAGGAGTCCGGTCTCTTCGAAGCCAACTCAGTGGTAAACTTGTCAACAGCCGCAAACGTGTTGGCTCAGAGGCGAGAGTTGCTACTAACCGATCCCAGGCTGACACCTCGACGTTCAATTAATCTGAGCGCATCCGTTCTTTCTCTTTCCAGCGCCACCGACGTTCACGGAGACCCCTTCACCCTACGTGGAAGCCAAGGAAGGGAGCAGCATCACCCTCACATGTACAGCTTTCGGAAACCCCAAGCCTGTCGTCAGCTGGCTCCGGGAGGAAAAACTGCTGGCAAATGATCGGAAGTACACGGTAAGAGCAAGGATGAGGAGAGCTGTTCAGTAACTAGCACTTTTTTTTATAGAACTCATTTTTAGCTCTACAGATAATAATAATAATAATAATAATCCTTGCATTGATATGGCCCCTTATCACGTCTTCAAGACGTCTCAAAGCTCTTCACGGGATACACTGTAAATTGCAGTGACTGTGTATTTTGTGGGTGAAACACGGCGGTGTCCCACAAACACTTGTGGAGTGAGGGACCAAATTATTATTATTTTTATTATTATTATCAGTACCATCATTGCACTTCAATCAAGTTGCTATTTGACCTCCATTCACTTCTGTTGTTACATTGCTCAGTTCATAGCATTATAGGTTTCGCCCTGCTCGGGAATCCAAGAATATTATTATCATATTATTTATATTAATATATGCCAGCTTCTCCTTTCTCTCTCTCTTTCTACCTCTGCTCTGTTATCTCTGTGAATCTTTCTCTCTCTGACTCTTTCAAACTTTCTATTTCTCCCTCCGAACCTGGATGAAATATCAATATCCCTGACCCTGTCTGTTAAAGACTTCTGCTACCGGCAAAATAATTCTGTTGGTGTGTACGTGCAAAAATTGGTGGGCTTGCAAGAGAAATATAGAACCAGGAGGAGGCCATTCAGCCCCTCGAGCCATTCTATAAGATCGTGGATGATCTGTACCTCATGTCCGATTACTCGCCCTTGCTCCGTTAGGTCAGCAATGTACACACTTCTTCTGCTGGTGTTTTAACAGGCCCTTATTCAAACTGCATTGGAATCGTATGTTGATGAGCAAACATAGAGATAATTGGCGCAGGGATAACCTTCGAAGTCATGGAGTAAAAGCGGGGATGATTTTTTTGGAAAAACGGGCGACAGTGACACAAACGTGAGGCTGAATAATAATAATAAAGTGCCTAATGGCCTCATCTCCAATCACAAGTTCTCCCCTCAAAGTGACAACGCACTTCATTTGGTTGTCAAATCCAATACTATTTGATTTAAACCTTTTTCAAAATAAATTCAAAGTTTCATTTTTTTAAAACAAAACGTTTACGTGAAGGGAAATCCCATTCTGAGAGCACAATGCTCCCCGCACCTGTGGCCTGCAAGCTCAATGATCCAAGGTTTGGACATTACTTCAGTGAAGCGAGTAGAAAACGTACGGAACAGACTCCCTAGAGAGACGGAAGGTGGAAGCAGAAAATGTTGTTTGTTTCGAGAACAAATCCGATAGATTTCTGCTAGAAAATAACATCTGGGGATGCAGTATAGAGTTTGGGACGCGCCATGGCAAGCAACTGCCAGGATGGTTGGAAGGCAAAGTAGGCGGACCTTGGTCTTCTTTTGCCCAGCAACTTCTTAACGTTCTTAAATGTGTTACCTGAGCTGTGTAGAATTAACCGAGCATGTGTTACCTCGCGGTGTGCTGCTTGGCAACCGGATATTTCATTTCCCCAAAATGAGACGACAAAATTGTCTGAGGTAGGAATGGTGTAACTACCAGAGCTCCTGACTTATAAGCGAGGCACGGGAAGAACACAGCCTCTAATAGTCCGTTTAGAGATTCCAGTTGAGCTAAGGTTCTTCCGTGAATGTTAACTCACAACAACAGTCAAATTGGAGGAGCAAGCGCAACCAGAAAAGACACCAGTTTCTTCTTACACAGCGACTGAGTAAGAAGGCCAACGACAACTAAAACCTTCTCTCCTGCCAGAGAGAGAGACCACACAGCTCATAGAAGTGAGCCACAGCGCTGCACAGTAGTAACTCGAGATTTGTTGTTGGGCGAGACTCGACAGGTTTAGAGGCTTAAAAACATGCACTAACGTTCTGAGGGGATAGCGCACGTCTCATTAGCCGTAACATGACACATCGCGCTCTGGGAAACTCTTGACGGGTTGGGATAAACGGGAGAGAAGGCATCAGGGAAAGTCAGTCATTTGTGTGCGTCTCTCCAACAAACAGATGTCCCCACATCAACTGAATTTGGCTTTGGCTCAAATGAACTACCCCGAGAATACAGCTCGGTTTGGTTTTTGATTTGTTTTATTCGATGGGGGTTTAAAAGAGTAAAAGCAGGTTGGTGAACTGTGGGAAAATGGAATCTCTAGTCGCGGTGAACAAATGCCTCAAAGACGTTAGACCCACTGCAAATACACAGTCACTACATTTTATTGTAAATTCTGTGAAGCTGTCTTGACATTTCAACGATGTGATAATAATAATAATAATAATAATATGGTACTATAACAAGTGTAAAGGTTATTCACCCACAAATTGTACCGTCAATTCGCTTTGCAGTATATTCTATTCTGTGAAGCGCTTTGAGACGTCTCAAAAAAGGTGATCAGGCGTTCGATCAAAGGCAAGGATTGTTATTATAAATACAAGAACTTGATAAGTTGCACGCAAGTGGACTTGGCTTGTACAGCTGTGAAAACCTTTTCGTTTTGACACCCAAGGGGAACAAAAATAAAACACATTTGATTTGACTGAAGTGAATCTAGTTTCGTACATTCAGTGAGTGTCTATTTCTGGAGTGATTCACTGGGAGCAGTGCACGTAACAATGATAAATGCTCATGCCTTCGATTTTTGTCATTTTTTTTTAAAAGAAAAGAACCTTTTTATGATAAGCCAAATTTCTCATTTGCTCGGCTCGGTTCCCGACTCGTTCATCTTTCTTAAAATGTAAAGGCTTTTAGTGCATAGCCGGGTTGGCCTTATTATCAGTGTTTCGATTTGCAGGTATAAGAAATGAAATAAGCTTAATAATAATAATAATAATAATAATGCTTGCATTTGGTATAGCGCCTTATCACATCGTTGAGACAATGTGTACAAAGTTATATTCATCTTAAATCCAGCCAAGTGCAGTCCCCTGCCATAGCCCGATCTAGGCATCAGCTAAAGTACGTGCTTACACTGGGGAGCAAGCACCGCAGAATTTATTGTAACAGGTTGTCAAGACCTAAGGGACAGTAAAGGCTTTCAAAGGTTGCCATTAATTGCTTCATATCGTGCCCTCGACATAGAACGAGACGGAAGCAGGCACACAAAGGATACTGGAGTTAAGCTGGTGGTATTTATTTCTTCGGGTCTCTTCGGTGAGGTCCACTAATTGCTCAGCTTGCAGTGGAAAATTGTTGCTTTGCTTTGCTTTGCCGCACGCTGCCATTTCAACGAAGTGTCCGCGTTTGAAAGGAACAGCACCTCTTTATCGCCTAAGCTCGATGACGCCAATTGAGTTGCAAATTTTCAGCTGAGGCATATTTAAGGTCCCCTCGTGAGTCGTTTGAATTGCACAAATGGTTTTCGCTTTCAAGCCCGTCACAAAGCAACATCAAATCCTGACCTCTCGGACAATGAATTAAAGATCGCCCGGAGTGCCACCGCGCAAGGTGAAGACAATAAAGCAATGTGAGAACTGTGGCTACCATTCTCCTAGCGCTGTGCTTATTGCCATGGCTGCAGAAATAGCCCGTGGACAACTAATAAAGCGAAGCTTTGAGCAGGTTTCCTCGCTCCACACACCTCTGTTTACCCAGCAGTAACCCAGTTGTTAGTCGATTGGCGGATCACTTTTCCGGGGGTAATAACTCCTTCAAATAAAATAATAATAAATTGGTCACTCAAATCCACGACTGTTGGTGGGACGCTGTTGTGCGCAATTCGCTGCCGCGTTTCGCCCACAAAATATACAGTCAATTCACTTCACATTATGTCTCGAAGACGTGATAAGGTGCTATATCAATTGCAAGGATTATTATTGCAATAAAGGTCTTCATTCCCCTCATATCTCATGACTCCTACTTCCCACTCCACCTCTCTTGCTGTGGCTCTCTGCATTACTTCGTACGACCTAGAGAGAGAGAGAGAGAGAGAGGCATTGCTGAGAGCGACGGGAAAGTGGTGACACTAATAGCCCATTGCCCCCCCCCAACCAGCTGCTTGCATAGAACTAAGGACTCACCCCAAAATATGATCTGCCTTAGGGCCCCCAGATAGCTTAATCTGTTTCCCTGGGAACCTTGTCCCATCATCCAGCATATAAAACCCAGCAATGATTGACTGATATATATATCCTGAGTAATCCACCAACCGGTTTTATTACTTGTCCCATTTGAGGCCATTCTCATATCACAGTAATACCTGTAACTAGATTTATATACAATCTGTAATTAGATATACATGAAACCCTGTCGTGTTGCTTTCAGAGGTGTCTGATTCCCCTTTGTATTTGCTGATTTATTCTCTTAAGATCTTCAGGCATGATTTCACACAGAGTGAGAAAGTGACGACAGATTCTGATCCATGGATAGAGGGCGGCAGGCAAACTTCTCATGCCTGAAATGTCGTCTCACTTTGGCCTGAAACAAATCGGAAAACCAAGCTAAACAGAGGCAGATTACACCTTGACGTAACACGCTGTCAGGGTGTGTGAATGATGAAGTGATGCAGTGTTCTGTGTTGGAACACAAAGCGGTGGCTGACCAGCAGAGGTAGCGGTAAACAGTGAATACAAATGATGCTTTGTGTAAGGAGCCATCGTACGAGGGAGTGCAGCAGCGCAATTAACATGAGACATGGCAACAACCCGCGGAACGCAGTTGTCAGCTGTTAATGGTTGCTGAGCGCACAGGAACTCAGAAGACGAGCTGAGAATGCCAAACATCACTGCGAAGTGTCCGTTTCACAATCTGCAAATGTCACTCAGAACCAAAGAAAACTACTGTATTAACAGTGCAGTCACACACCATCACTCCCACACTGCAGCAAGCTTCCCAATTGTGGCATTGCTTTTAATCTTATTGCACAAATAATATGTGGTGGTTGCCTGAGAAACCCCAAATCCTCCCCCGGCCCCCCTCCCCCACCGCCCCCCCAAAGTATGACTTTTTTAGTTTTATCATCTTGTGCATTTTTTTCCAAAGATTAATCCGTCATTTTCTAAATCGCCTTTTTATTCTCTCCCCTCCATTATTAAAGCTCCCCACCTGACCTACCTTTCACAGACCCATGCTGGCTGACTCCCTGATCAGCTTAGTTTATCCAATTGTTCATTTATTCTGCCCTTCGTGATGTAATTCACGTTTCACAGAGGCGGTTTCAGACTTTCAAACTCTAAAGGGCTCAGCGCCAGCATTCAGTGAACCCACCCTCGCCCACACACTCCACAATAAATCTCTAAATCTCTCACGGTGAAAGCTTCTGTGCTTGTGCTTGTTCTCAAGAGGGTTGATTTAGGTATAAGCTCAGCTGTTTGGCTTCCCTCAGACATAGACTTGATCCCTCTGTCCCCGTGTGCAATTGACAGCCGCGTTTCGCCCACAAAATAAACGGTCAAGCGCTTTGAGATGGCTCAAATTATTATTATGCCCCGTGTTACTCCAAGCCTTTCTTGCTAGCTGCGTCCTTGATGAATTTCTCTGCGTCTCTTTCTAGAACGGCAGTATATCCTTCCTATAGGAAGTAGCCCAAGCTAAACACAATACTCCAGATGAGATGTATAACCGTTGTGCCTAGTTTTTAGCAGATGCCTTCTGATTCTCCTCTGTCTGTCATCCAAGTGGTTCTGTCAAAACATGCCATTAGGAAAGCTACATCTGACCTACCTTTCACAGACCCATGCTGACTCTCTCCCTGATCAGCTTAATTTATCCGACTGCTGATTTGCTCTGTCCTTGATGATGTGTTTCACGTTTTACAGAGGAACTTTCAGACTTTCAAATTCTAAATGGCTCAGTTGGGCTTTGCTGCTTCAAAAGGATCAGACAAGATACAAATACAACATTACATTTGTGTAGCACCTTTACGTCGGGAGGACGTCCCAAGGCTTTGGATAGTCAGGGATTAGGACCTGAGCAGGCGGTGGGGTTGGGATCAGGGAGGGTGGAGGGCGGGTAGGGTAGGGAGAAGGCTGACAGCACGGTCAAAGATGAGGGTCTTGAGACATCTCTTGAAGGAGGCAAGAGAGGGAGCGAGGCGAAGGGAAGGTGGGATGGAGTTCCAAACACTCATTTTCTTTTTAAAACTAATGAAATTGCATTTCTCACAAATAGTATTTGGACTCTCGTGTGATTTTCTGCAGCAGGTTGGATGTTCCTGTGCACTGTATCAGGGAAAAAAAAGCAGCTGTTTTGTTCAGAAGCCCGTTCTGTGACAACCTGAAACATAACTCAGTGTAGCATCCGAGTAGTCCAAATATTTGCTGGAAAATATGGTCCATTGGGTAATATGTAGGTAAATCATTCCTAAATTGTTCTTAACATCTGCCTTTGATTCTATGTCTGACAGAATGGACAATGATTGTAATTAAAGTTATAAATGAAATGCATTCAGACAGTCTCCATGGACACAACACAAAACCACCCACCAATCAACAGTAATTAGCCCTAATGTGTCCAAGAGAAATCGCAGTGTAAGAATCAGGAATTTAGGAAATAAAAATGTTGTGTTGACATATTCCAGGAGTACCAGGGGACACACCTCGGCAATTTACAGTGAAGGGCACACAATATTCAATGGTCTTCTTCAAGACCCTTGTCTTCGACAGCGCCTTCGGTCACCCTCCTTCCCCTACCCTCCCCGCCCTCCACCCCTCTTGATCCTAACCACTAGCTCGGATGCGGATTCCTGACTGTCCAACGCCTTGGGACGTGAAAGGCCCTGCACAAATGTAATTTGTTGTTTGCTGTTGCTATTCTGGCAAATACTGTTCTGAATACGAGTGTCATCTCCTGTTTTGCACTACTCTCCTTCATCTAACGTAGTGCACAGATATCTTGTTGGCTTGTAGCATCGGAATGTTCATTTTGGAAATGCCGTTGTTTGAGGAAATGTGTACTGAGAAGATGCCATTTGGTCCATCAAGTCGTCTTCCTACTCAGAGAGCAACACAAACCCTCGCCCTCTGAAAGAAGGTTGCACAGAAACAGTACAGAGCTGCAGCCAGTGCTCTTTTCTGAACACACCATTCATCGTGTCTGGTTTCAGACCCAATTTCTGATTTGTTTCCACGTGCCTCTGTTCACCCTAGCAGTAAGCAGGAACCCGGAGATGCTAGTCGAGCAATCACAAGGTTGTCTCTTAGTCTTTTTCTCGTAATTCTGCCACTAACACAGCTGTTTATCTCTTGACAGGTGAGCGATGGAAGTCTTACCATTTCATCAGTGGGCAGGAAGGACCGTGGAGCCTACACGTGCCGCGCCTACAGTATTCAGGGAGAGGCTGTTCACACAACAAGACTGTTGGTTCAAGGTAACCCTTTATACGCAGCGCTGATGGATGATTCCCCGTAGCAACATTCAAATATTTTGTCTGAACCTTTTGACGACAGACAGCAAGATTCTGTACCAGATGGGGGGGGAGCAAAATAGTTTTAAATAAAAATACTGTAAATAATTGAGCATTTAGAAACATAGGAACAGGAGGAGGCCATTCAGCCCCTCGAGTCTGTCCTGCCATTCTGTAAGATCATGGCTGATCTGTACCTCAAGTCCAATTACCCACCCTTGCTCTGTGTCCCTCAATACCCTGACCTACCAAATATCTCTCCACCTCCGTCCTGAAAATGTAAATGGATTTGCTCAGTTATGTTTCGTAAAAAGTCTGTTCTTTAGGATTCCAAACCTCCAAAGAGATTGGCTTCCAAACCTCTTGGATCTTCTTTTGCCTAAGCAAATTCTTATGTTCTTATTATCTGGGAATACAGTGTATAGTTTGGGATACGACGTGCCAAGCGACTGCCAGGATAGTGGCAGACGAACTAGATGGACCTTGGTCTCTTTTCGCCTCGCAAGTCCTTATGTTCGTATGCTCCCATTCCAAATGGAAGAGGTCCCTATCTATTCTTGCTACTGTGGCAGAGATAGGAGTACATCTTTAACGCCGTATTTATGCTGCGCTTTTCATGATTAAGACGCAGTACAATTTGGAGTCTGGCAGCATGACTTGGAAGCAATCAAGCATCATTGCCTGAAACCTCCTTAGGAGCCATTTTGGCATTGGATCAGTTCATCACAATTCCAATCTCAACACCCCGGATTGCGAATCCGCTCCCAAATAGGATTCGTTGGATGATCAGCTGTGCTCAGTGTCGGTAAAGAGCTCAGCACATGATTAGTTTAGATCACAATCCCAGATTTATAAGTACATTAACATGTGCTCCCACCCCCAACCCCTCCCCGCTCCCCCTCTGTTTCACAGGCTGTGCTTAGTGCGAACGCAAGGATCTCTGAAATGTTCGTGTCTAACAGCCTCCAGCTAATGCAATTAGTAGTGAAACATATAAATCAGGCTCGCTACTCCACAATGATCTATTCCTGCAGACACGATCATTTTGCTTCCAGTTGTAGAAACCAGCACCGGTCAACTGTGGGGCACAAGGCAAGTAATTAACGTCCGATCCCAGCCATCTAAAGCAGCCCTGTCAATCTCTTTGACCTGGGATCAGTTCACTTTTCTTCGACAAATGTGCTGTCTTTTTATTAATAAGCCTGTAGCTCAGTGGTGAGAGCACTCGCCTCGCAAGCGAGAGGACCTGGGTTCGTTTCCCAGGACGGGTGAAATGTTGGGCAAGTTTCCTTACCCCACACGCCTCTGTTTACCAAGCAATAAGTAGGAACCCAGTTGTTAGACGATTGGCAGATCTTATTTCCGAGGGTAATAATTCCTTCAAAATCAATAAAAAATCATTTGGACACTCACGCGTTTCGCCCACAGGGTGTACAGTCAATTCACTTTACAGTATATTCTGTGAAGCGCTTTAGACATCTCGAAGATGTGATAAGGCACTGTATCAAATGCAAGAATAATTATTATTGTTACTATGTTAGAGTGAATTAAATTGATTGCATTAGATCGATGAGTTGTGAAAAGTAAGTTAATAACATGTTGCAGAACGGTTAATGTATTCCGCTTTATAACACCGCCGCTGCATTAAGTCCTTTCTTTCAGTCCATCTCTTCTACAAATTTATCTGCCAGTGGAATAAATACACTTCTACCAATATCAACCATAAATATTGAGTCGGGTAAAGTTCTAAAGTGTTGCACTTTTTAGCGAATTGAATTCTGCATCTAATCCAGTTAAACTGTTTATTGCTCAAAGAAATGTATTTAAGTTTCTGTATCCAATCCACTTACCCAGGTTTATAAGATAATAACAGGATTAAACCTTGCTGGGATAGGGACGCCTTGACTCTGATGAGACTGAGACAAATGTCCTACCTAATAGATTATAAGTTTTCTCCGTTTCTTACCAATGCCCCAGGGACTCTTGAGAACCCACGCTGCGAGATTGAATATTGAGCCGCTATCTCATGCACAATTAGTCAAAGGTGAAATCGGCTCACGGAATTGATTAAGACGGGCGATGGCAAGTATTGTGTGGTGATGAGAAGTTCAATCAAGGGTTCTTGCACAAAGACAAATGACCAAAGCCAAGTTAGACTCCTCTCATCCCATCACTCCTTGCTGCAGACCTCCGCACTTGCTGTCTGACTGACTGTAATAAGGTCAAGCCTCCAATCACCTTCCCTTTTCACTCGACGTGTTTAGAAGAAAAGAAGGAAGAGAAGGGGACAGCCGTTGAAATTGTCCAACGCCTTTTTGTCTCTCATTCGCACCGACACTGACCTAAATGTCATCAACATCTCAAAGGATGATGTTGCTTATTTTCTATAATTAAAAGACCATGAACTTTCACGGATTTAATTTGGCATGTTACGGTTAATCCTTAATAACACAGTGGGGTGGGGGGAGGAGAAAAAGAGCAGTCAGGAACCTCGGTGATGCCGTTTTATCCCTTCTTGAGTGACACGGACTTGCACAAAGCAAAGCACTATACAGTGCCCAGCTTCCAGCTGTTAAACCATTCGAAACAACAACAAATTACACCCTTACAGCGCCTTTCACGTCAGGAGGACGTCCCAAGGCGCTGGACAGTCAGGGATCAACACCCGAGCTGGTGGTTGGGATCAGGAGGGGTGGAGGGCGGGGAGGGGAGGGGTAGGAGGGTGACCGAAGGCGCGGTCGAAGAGGAGGGTCTTGAGATGGGTCTTCAAGGGGAGAGATCAGGGCCCAATTAGTCCTCCCTTCCTTTTAGGGAGGATAAAATCAGCCAGGCTTTCTGCTCCTGGTCCTTCTTCAGCATTCTCTACTGGTTGTACACGTGGGTGACAGCAAGGTGAAGGCGAGGGGTGATGCCCCCTAGAGGTAAATCGCTTCGACTTTTGATTGGGATGGTTTCCGGGGAATATTCCTATGGACACCGTTAAACTAGAATTTGTAGAGTCCACATCAAAATACTACCGTCACTTGTGGATTTCCCTTTAACCTGGCACTGCGCGCAAAGTTGCTCAAGATTGCTAGAGTGCCGCTGTTAGTCGAAGATGTGATAAGGCGCTGTATGAAATGCACGGATGGTTTTCATTGCAGAGTGTACCTGTGACCCTCCCAAGAACACGTATGGTGTCAATTCTGACAATATTTTGTTTTTAATTTTTTATTCATGGTTTTAATATGGCTGTTTGCAGTTTTTACCATTGTTTGCCGTTGTAAAGCTGTTTCGACGCAAACAATGAGGACGATGCTATCTATAATTGAACGCCGCAGGGAAATGGGGGAACAGTGAAGCATTGTCGGGTTGACTGTACCGAGAATTCCTAGAGGTTCTCTTTGGTTGCAGAGCTCTGCAGTGTAGCGATTAAACCGTTGACTGTATACCTCGTGCTGACAGCTTCAGACCTCACTGCGGGTCCTTGCTGCTTGTGTCTGTCAGCTGCTCGTGGATTATGTGCCAACGGTTCATTGCTGGGAAGCTCGGTTCGTGAAAGCTTACGTGCCAGGACCTTGGAGGAGCATGAAAGCTGTCTTAACTCCCTCAGGATGCACAGTGTCCTGTCAGCAAAGCGGTGCAGAATGTTGTAACCTGCTAGCTATGCCCTCCTCCGTTTACAAGGTCGCTCGTGGGAGAAGGATGTAGGATAAGGATGGGAGAGAAATGCATCCCTTACCGTACGTAGCTCACTGTCCCTCCAAGAGTAAAATACAACACAACATCCACTGTTGGAACCTTATTGATGTCATTTAAAAAACAGGTCTGGATTTTACTTCTAACACCGCCGCCTCCTGATTTTTATTTCCACGCGATCAAAGCGGCAAAAGATTTTAAAATTGAAATGTAAAGTGGGTTAGTTCTATATATAGTCAGAGGTTAGTTGGATTTGGAATTAGGGAAATCACTGCTAACGATTTCACATGGGCTTCGAGTCTACAAAGATTTGCATTCGATAATCAGCCCGTATCTGTTACCTTGTTAGACTGACCTCGACAATAATTATCCGAGAGGCCAAAAGGTGTCGAAGAGCTTTCTTCATCGAAACCAACACACTTCGGAAGAGATAGATCTGTGATTGGCATCACATATGCTCTTGGGAGGGTCACAGTCTAATTTGACATTGAGAAGCCCTGTGTTGCAGTTTATCGAAGGCGCCCAATTGGCCTTTAACAGAGTGACCACTCAACAGATTCCTTCCATGTCAAGGGGGTATTGAGGGTCAGATGTGGACTTACTTCTTTCTGGCTAAAGAAAAGGAGAGCAAGGTTGAAGTGGGAGGGGGTGAAAGGAGAGAACAGTTATAGAGGTGCATAAGATGCAAACTGGGACAGAAATGTGGATTATCATTTAGGGATTTTCAGTTACCAGACTTTGTCAAGGTGACTTTTCTGTTACGAAGATTAAAAACTAGCTTTGTCGTGTGTTCCAGTTGAAGCTGAGGGCACCCACAGCACGTCCTGACCGACAGTATTTCCAGTTCTCTGCCCTGCCACCCCCATTTTTAAATTTGTCGAACGTTATCTGTGAAGCATTTTCTTTTCCTCTGTTTACCCAGCAGTCACACACCTCTGTTTACCTGGCAGTAACTGATTGTTAGTCGATTGGCGGATCGCTTTTCCAGTGGTAATAATCCATTAAAAAGTAATAATAATAATAATAATATTGTGGTCGCTCAATCCACGACTGTCTGTGGGACTGTGAGGTGCTGAATTATTAAGTCTCTTTAACCAGCCCTAAATTGTCAAATCATTGTGTGCATATTCCTTGGCAAAGTATATATGGGGAGAGATGCCAATTAAACCGGCTAACAGCCCTCATGTGTTTGTTCGAGAGAGAGAGAGAGAGAGAGAGAGCAATTCAGAATCTGACACTGAGAATTCTCGTGGGTTTAAGTGAAAACCTTTCCACTTTCTACAAAATGGCCTTTTTTTTTTTTTTCTTTTCTCCTCCCGAACACTTGTCTCTTCATCCTGTTCGGCGGTTTGTGATGGATTCTCCCTGCCTCTTGCCGATGGGGAATCATGTCCGCAAACAGAACGTGCGGCGAGGGATTCCTGAAATAGAAAGTAACTCTCTGCTTGTCACAGAATCAAGTCGTCGTCCTGCCTGCCTTCGGGTAACTGCTGTGCATGTTGTGAGAGAGAATAATTATAGCGGAGTCGTGGGACCACAAGCTACACTTTTGAAAAAACGATTAATCCTTAATAATGATCATGAAAAGGATGTATTTAGCGACTGAATGATAGCATCACTGGAAAAAGACTTAGTGCCTTTCACTTCATCAAGACGTCTCAAAGTGTTTCACAGGGTTTTCTGTAAAGTGTAGTGACTGTATTTGGAGGCAAATGCGGTAGCTAATTTGAACACCGCAATAGTATTCCTTGCATTTGATATAATGCCTTTCACATTGTCTGACAAATACCCGTGAAGCGGATGGTCAATTTTAAATACAAATCAAAATAATTTGCTCACTTTCAGTCCACGACTGCCTGTGAGACACTGTTGTGCACAATTCGCTGCCGCATTTCGCCCACAAAATACGCAGTCAATTCACCTTACAGCGCAGTATATTCTGTGAAGCGCTTTGAGACGTCGCGAAGACTTGATAAGGCGCTATATCAAATGTAAGGATTATTATTATTATAAATGTCCCACAAAATATCCACATTTTCAAGACGGAGATAGATAGATATTTGTTAGGTCAGGGTATCATGGATATGGGGCAAGGTTGGGTGATTGGACTTGAGGTACAGATCAACCATGATCTTATAGAATGGCGGAAAAGCTCAAGGGGCTGAATGGCCTCCTCCTGGTCCATATATCAGCTTGTCCTGTGCGTACAGGACACTTAAAAGTACTACTTACCCAATAACACTGAAGGCTTTTACTGTTCTCTGGGTCCTTTTGTTGCAGTGACTGAACCTGTGACTCGCTCTGCTCTGATTGTTAACCAGACGTTTGTCTTGTGTCCTCAGGTCCACCTTTTATCATCTCTCCGCCTGAGAATATAACAGTAAACATATCGCAAGATGCCCTCTTCACATGCCAGGCCGAAGCGTATCCCGGCAACCTCACGTACATCTGGTTTTGGGAAGAAGATAACGTCTTCTTCAAGAAGTAAAGCCTTGATTGTTTTTTTTTTTAAATCCTTTTTGCCGTTGCAACAGATGGGACCTGTTTTTTTTGCGGTTGCATTTGCATTCTGTTTAAAAGGGGCTTCCTTTCGGCAGCTTGTGACATCCATTCTTGCAGAAACTACGGCCACAGTCCACGTTGCTTGATGTGCAGAGTATGGGAGTGTTACCTACTGTGGTATTCCTCTGGCCCCTTTGACCCAGCGCCTTGGGGACGTCCTCCCTACGCGAAAGGCGCTCTACAAAATGTAATTCTGTGTTTGTGTTGCGTCTGCGGAACTCTGCAGGTGAGAGACTGCAATCTCTCCCAGATTCTGCTGGGACGTCTGGGGCGTCAGCGCTTTGGGACGTCCTCCCCACGTGAAAGGCGCTCTATAAATGGAACCTTGTTGTTGTTGTTGTTGTTGCTCTGTATACCTGTCCAGTGTGAGCTGCGTTCCAACGGGAGAAAGTGGGACGAGAGCAGGTTCAGAACCAAGGAATACAGTAATAATTCTTACATTCGATGGAGCGTCTGTCACATCCGGAGGACGTCTCAAAGCATTGAATAACGTCGAGTGACTGTATCTGTGTGCGTGTGTGTGTATGTGTGTGTGCGTGTGTGGCCAATGGCTACAAAATCCATTGGACACTGGCTGGGAGCCCGTAGAATACTGCACTTGAGGAACAGAGGTCCTCCTCGCTTGTGGGATATATTCCCTATTCTACAGTTCCCACTTGGGAGTGTATTATCCCAGAATCTTGGGAACGTGTGCATATTGCCACCTAATGGCACCATTTATGTACTGTACAGGCGGAGATTTTGTTTTGTGCTAACGTACCCAACCAATCTAAACGAACTCCCGCAATCACACAAGAAAGTAGTTTGACAACGGGACTAATGCTTTCTGAGAAACCAATGAATAATCCCCTGGTCTGCTTAATCCAAAACACTTAATGGGTTTTCTTTTCAGGCTCTTGAGCGTGGAATAATTATGTGACAGGATGGCCTGACCTCTCAGTTCAAAGATCTCTCAGTTTCAAGACGGAGTCGGATAGATATTTGTTAGGCCGGGGTATTGAGGGAGACGGGGCAAGGGCAGATAATTGGAGTTGAGGTGCAGATCAGCCATGATCTTATAGAATGGCGGAACAGGCTCGAGGGGCTGAATGGCCTCCCCCCCCCCGTTTCTATATTTCTAAAGGTTCCCCCTAAGCTGTGACGCTTTCCTGTCTCTGCTCTTTTTTTTACTGCCACCCTCACCTCATCGCGTAATTATTACTGTTTTACTTGGTTTCCTTCTGTACCACCCTCCATGCAATTTGAGATCCCTAATATTTTGGCTTCTCACCAATCTAACAAAAACCTCTTCGTGAAGGCCACATGACGTCAAGATGTAAAAACGCCGCATGAAACATAATAAAATATATTTAAAGAATTTAATTAAAGAAACGCACAGTCAGTTCACTTTGCAGTGTATCCTGTGAAGCTCTTCGAGATGTCTCCGAGATGTGTCAAGGCGCTGTATCAGATGCAAGGATTGTTATTATTATGATTATTATTGGAAAAGGATCTTGAGGGGAAACTTCTCATGGAGATTATCTCCTTATACGGTGTGCTGCAAGCCTGGAATCAAATATTTGTCAAACGGATAATGTTTTTATTGTCTGGTGCCTTAGGTGGAGAGGATTATTGTTTCAGGATATTCTGCTAGGAACTGAAACTGTATCTGAGTCACTCCCAACTGAATTTGGCCTTTGTTTCATCGACGCTTTATAGCACTGTTGCTTTGAGGTTTGCTTTGACAACATTAGTCGCGCATTTATCATTCTTCTTCCGTCTGCCAAGCACACCGCACTGCAGTGAGGGTATACATATTGCAGATCAGTTCACGCGCCATTCATCGGCAGATTAATCGTTCCTGAAAGATTAGGAATTCGGTGGCGTCACGCGACAGTCTCATATCCAGTGCCTTTCGGAATCTACGCTGGCTCCAAGCCCTTTTTTTTTAATAAAAGTCGAAATTTAGACTACGCCATATAATAGATAAATGCAGAGGCCACAGCATGCTACTGTCCAATACAAAATAATGAATTCTGGGATTCATCACAAAGCAATAATTTCTGTCAAAACCACTCTGATATTGTCGCTTGCAGCCACCAGCTAAAACCCGCACAGCTTGCCATTGATAGCTCGTGTCTGGCCAGCTTTCCTGCCGCATGTCCGGCAAGGACTCCACCCGTTCGGGCTTTGGCTGCAGGGTTAATAGGAGCTGATTGGGATGACTCCTTGCCTCCCCTCGGTGACTGGTCGGCTCTTCCAGGTCCTGTCGATGGGCCGGGCTGGGCTGTCATTAGTAGTGAGTGCCCTGGGATACTGCGGCCCCTCCTGGCTCAGGAACCGGACGACAGAAACCGCCCGCAGAGGGCTTATTAATTTGCCGTTGCCTCAGGCAAACGTCTCCGCCATTTCAACAGCGATTGGGATTTAGCTTTCGAGGTTCGACGCCATCGCAACTTCGTTGTGTACACCGAGTGAACATTTTCAATGTCACTTGTGTTCCAACCCTCCTGAAGGGTAGAAAGCCCAAGCTAGATTGCTCACCCCTGCTACAGCTGTTCGCAGTGAAGTTTTAGAGAAACTATTCAGCTGGGATCAGCAGAAAGGAGTTTTCAGCAGTAATTGATTTTTTTTCAGACCTCAGTGAACAGGGCCTGGGATCTAACGGTAATAATGAGTTCAAAGGCACGTATCTATAGTGCCAGATTATTAAAATGCCAGGCAATCTGTAGCTTGTAACAACCTCTCATTTACACATGACTTCTCCTCCATTATTGCTTAATTTAGTTGCAATATGGTAAACTGTCAACTGTCAATTTGTTGGCAAATAGTTTCACGTTACAAGTGGGGATTGTGGGAGTACGGTGTTTTTTTCAAGAGATTCTAACACTGAATTGGAAGAATTTTCCGCAGATTTGTGTCTCCACTGACGTGTTAAGACAAAATGGTCTGATGGCAAAGATTGAGGTGGGATTTTGTGCCTGTTGTTGGGGAGGAGAGAAGGAAAAACATTATTCTGTATCTGATGGTTCTGTACCCAGCGTGAACATTCCAGGCGTGATAGCAAATCAAAGGTTATTATTGTAAAATACAGTGAGCTGATTAATGCTGTGGTCTTTCTCTGTCTTCGAAGAGCAAGCTCTCTTCCGTCTTGGGATGCACAAGCCCGGAGAAGAGACGATTGTAAAGTTGCGTAGCCAACATTTTACTCAGTGGCATAATTCAACTAGAATATCGTTAATAAAAGGCAAAATTACTGCAGATGCTGGAAAGCTGAAGCAGAAACAGAAGTCGCTGGGAAGATTCAGCGGGTCAGGCAGCGTCTATGGGGAGAGGAAATTGAGTCAACGTTTCAGATCGATGACCTGAAAGGTTCTGCCGAAAGGTCATCGACCTGAAACAGTAACTCATTTTCCTCTCTCCATAGATGCTGCCTGACCTGTTCCCAGCGACTTGTGTTAACGTTTTGTTTTGGGGATCTTGTTGTCTTTCACAGTGACCTGAAAATGAGAGTGCGGATTTTGATCGATGGAACTTTGATCATCTTCCATGTGAAGCCTGAAGATGCCGGGAAATACACCTGCGTCCCCAGTAACAGCCTCGGGCGTTCCCCTTCAGCCTCTTCGTACCTGACTGTCCAGTGTAAGTGTGTCCTCTTTGGGGAGCGATCAGCTGAGCACCTTATTCCTATGTTCTAATTTGCACGTATTCTTATTGTCTGAGTTCAGCCAAGGCAGAAGGACGAGTGCATCGGATCAAGAATTTGAAGGGCGATTTTAAGATAGATGCCATAAAGTATTTCTATATATATATATATAGAGAGAGAGAGAGAGGCTAATTAAAACCTTGAACAGTCTAATAAAACAAGTACTGCAAGGCTGCAGCTTGGAAAATCAGGTTGCCTTTGAATATTATTTGCTAAATATTTAGACAAAATGATCCACTGCCTGGTCCAAGATTGTAATTATATCCCGTAGTTGTGCAGAATATAAATAAGACTCATTAGGCTTAGCTGTGCTGCAAATGGATAGCTCGGAGCTGCAGGGACGGCAGATGTGCACATGATGCTCTTACTGCAATCTTATTACTTCCCCGGAGCAGGAATAATGAAAGCAGCGTTGGAGTTTTCCCCAGGAGAGGTGGTAGAGGCCAGAACACTAGACTTGTTTAAAAAGCAGCTTGATGAGAGTAGGAGAGTGGGTGTTCTGAAGGGATGAGATTGTAAGAACCAAAGGGCCTTCGTCAACCGAACTAGCCTTGTGAACACAAGATCGCAAGATTAGCTGATGATTTAAACCTCCCTCTTACCCTCCCATCAAGCCTCTTGTCTTCCGATACAGGCTTCTGTATTCCCAAACAACCATCACTGCTTAATATCTAAACCAGCATGCTCACAGAACAGGATACCACGTGTTTGCCTGTGCACCTGCTCAAGGTTTAGAAAGATGAATACGGAGAGCTGCGAATATACAGGAGAGAGAATGAGCTGCAAATACCATATGGTCTCCACTAAAAGGCTGAGGATGGTAGATAATATAACAGGATATTGGATCCATTTGTTTTCCTGAATGAGCTCCAATGGAAACCAACCCAAGACAAGTAGAGAAAAGTACCTTTGGTGCGTGTGCTGTCACGTGTGCAAATTGATGTGGGGGGGGGAAAAGTAAGAACTTAAGAAATGCTAGAAAAAAAAGACCAAGGTCCATCTAGATCGCCTTCCACTGACCTTCCTGGCGGTCGCTTGCACATATGTCCTGAACTACCTTTGTACTACATGCCATCATGTTATTTCCATCTAGGAGTAGTCTGGTCGCAATATACAGCGATGCAGAGCCCGAACCCCAATTTAATATCTGAATTAATGCCTCATTCATGACTTTTCAGATCCAGCGCGAGTTATCAACATGCCTTCCATCATCTACGTGCCCGTTGGAATGCCTGGTTACATCAAGTGCCCGGTAGATGCAGATCCTCCAGTTACACAAGTCAAGTGGACCAAAGACGGCCGCCCACTAAAGATTGAAAAGGTAAAATGTGGGACATTCCCCGGTTACCCGCAGTACATTTCATTTTACAGCCGTTTGAGAGTCATCTCTGGAAACGATTGGAGATTCGCTAACGTTACCTTTACTTACATTACTTTTACTTACATTACTAGCTGTTTTGGTTGCCTTGGATCTCTCTCCCTCAATCCCTCCACCTTGCCCATTCTCTCCCCCTCTTCCTCCCTCCCCACCTTCAAATCCCACCTAAAGACCTCCCTTTTTAATCATGCTTGCGGTCACCTCCCTCTCCCCCCCCGGCTCGTTGTCAGACCACCACTGTCAAGCGCTCCGGGAAGCTACCCAACGCGAAGGGCGCTGTATGAATGTAAATTGTTGTGGTTGTTATCCTAGTTGGTTGGTTTGCATTATTCACAGTCACTTTTCCTTTCTGGCAGTATCCCGGTTGGCGTTTGCTGGATGATGGAACCATTCGACTCGAAGAAGCTACAGAGGAAACTCTCGGCACTTACACCTGCGTGCCTTACAATGCTCTAGGTACTATGGGACAATCTACCCCAGCTCAACTGGTGCTTAAGGTAAATATAACTTAATTAAAACCTGTGGGGGTTTTGGTGGAGGATGGGATTTCAGTCAAGAAAGCTCCGGTAAATGTGGTGAAAACAAGGACTTGCTTGAGACGTCTCAAAGCGCTTTACAGAATAGAATGTAAAGTTGAATTGACTGTGTATTTTGTGGGCGAAACTCAGTGTCAGATGTGCAAATAATCACAGATTAAAGAACGCAATGAATTTAAGTCTCAAAATTTAACTTCAGGGACTAGTTGGGGTTCTCAAGTTTCAACAAAAAAAATTGAAATTTTGGTAAAAACAGCTCTGAAGGTCCATTAGAGTATTAAACACTTTGTGCTGGATATCTCCTCAAATTCATACTCCGAACCCCTCACAGCTTTGACGCTAATTAGCCGGGAAATAGCCAAGACCACTTGTAAGAACCTCCAAGCGCTAAGCAGTTAAAATCAATCAGTGAACACGGTCTTAGAATTTTCCGTTCAAAGCCTTTCTCCAGCAGTAACACCTGATCATATGTTACCTTGTAATTGATGAAGGAGCCTTAACTAATCACCTTAAAATAATGACGACTGGAGGTGTATCACAGACCCCCAGGGAGCAACGAACAGGTACAGTAAGCCGTAATGGTGTATATACTGCTCATTTTATTTTTAAAAGGTAATTGTGCGTCCCAAGATATAAATAGAAGAGCTAACTGAAAAACTTTTTAAAGTGCCTCAAACTAACTGACACAAATACATTTTTTAGTACACGCTCGTGTTTGTTTCTGTCAATCAATTATTAATTGCAAAATTCCTGTGTTTTTTGAGGCATTTTGCAATGTTTTATGCTCTGGTTTGGGGTTCTATGCGTAATTGTATTCTCCATTGAATTGAAATTGAATTTAAATTAATAATAATCCTGGCATTTGATGCAGCGCCTTATCACGTCTTCGAGACGTCTCAAAGCACTTCACAGAATATACTGTACTGTAAAGTAAATTGACTGTATTTTGTGGGTGAAACTTAAACTGTACTGATACTGACACAGTCTCAATAAATATTAGATCATATCTTTTTTTATAAATGGAATGCTTCTGCAGCAGGAAGGGCCGTCAGTTCCAGGTTTGCGACAACAGTTTAATGAAAGTTAAATTTGACGAGTGTCACTTCAAGGTGAATTGACGGTGTATTTTTGTGGGCGAAATTTCATGGCTGATCTGTGCCTCAAGTCCAATTACCCGCCCTTACCCGTATCCCTTAATACCTGCCCTTACAAATATCTATCCACTTCAGTCTTGAAAACCTGAATGGATCCAACATCCACAGCCTTTTGGGGACAGAGAGTACCAGATTTCCACTACCCTTAGAGTGAAACACTGCCTCCTAATATCAGTGCGAGCTCTAATTTTAAGATGATGCCCCCCCCCCCCCCCCTTGTTCTGGATTGTTGTTTAAGTGTTAAAACTAACTTTCAGAGTTTCCTTTTTTCCAGGATCCTCCTTACTTTACGGTGCTTCCTGGCTGGGAATATCGACAAGAAGTGGGTCGAGAACTGGTTATTCCATGTGCTGCCGCCGGAGATCCATTCCCAGTTATCACTTGGAGGAAGGTATGTGCCCTTTGCTTCTCTTACTTACTACAGACTGACCAACTAGGGCCAGACCAACCCTGAGTGGCATTGTGGAGTCCTGTAGCTCACTGGTTAGACCGCTCGCCTCACAAGCGAGAGGACCCGGGTTTGATTCCCGTCCAGGCGAAATGTTGAGCAAGATTCCTTACTCCACATGCCTCTGGTTACCTAGCAGTGAGTAGCGAGTAGGAATCCGGATTGCTGATAATTCCTTCAAAAAGAAATACTATTAATAAACTGATCGCTCAATTCACAACTGTTTGAGGGATACACAACTGCTGTATGCAGTCGGCTGCCAATTGCACACAGCAGTGTCCCACAAACAGTTTCACCCACAACATACACAGTCAATTCACTTTACAGTATATTCCGTGAAGCGCTTTGAGGCGTCTCGATGACGCGATAAGGTGTTATATCAAATGAAAGGATTATTATTATTGATCTACAACTCACAAGTAGTAGTAAATTAGCACATGGTTGTTAACCCATTGCAAAATGTAGCCAAGAATATGTTCTCGCTGTTTGTACAATTACATAAACAGTTCTTGGCTATAAATTGGCTACCAAACACCTTGGGATGTGAGTTCTTTTTGATGTTTGTTTGGAAAATTCTGGCTTCTTCTCTTGCCCTGAAACGACTTTCCAATTTGGGTTTAGGTTAATTCAGCTTTCCCCATTGCCGCATAAAGAAAAGAACACCTTTCCCTTCACAGCGGCTGCTTTAATAAACACGAACAGATGTGTATTGTCGAACAATACGATCCTGAAATTGCATCGTGATCATTTATTAAATTATGAAACACAGACTATGGTTCCCCTGGCAGCTTGCAAACGCGTTCAGCGGTGCCTGGCTTTATGGGAACGTGATGCTTAACGAATCTCAGCAGTGCTTTCTCTCTTTGGCAGGAAATTAGCATAAATTTAACGTGCAATAGAACTGTAGCTGAGCCAACTCGTGACCCCTGAGGGAACGTGAGCCACAGTTGCAGTGCTGTATGTGGCAACGCAGTGACTATCTGAGCTCGTCGGACATTTCCCTATCTCTCCCCCACCCATCCCACAATGGTGCAAACAGCCAGTGTAACTGCTCCATCTTTGCTTATGTGGAAATAGGAGCCGGGAAATCTGCGTGAAATCTACATCGTGGAGTCCTGTAGCTCAGTGGTTAGAGCACTCGCTTTGCAAGTGAGAGACCTGAGTTCAATTCCAGGCAGAGGGCGAAACCTCGGGCAAGTTTCCTTACTCCACACAGAGCCTAATAATAATCCCTCCAAAACAAAACAATAATAAATTGGTCATTTTCAATCTACTACTGTTTGTGGGACATTGCTGTGCGCAATTGGCTGCCGCGTTCGCCCACAAATATACAGTCAATTCACTTTATGGTGTATTCTGTGAAGCGCTTTGAGAAGTCCTCCCGACGTGAAAAGCGCTATATCAAATGCAAGGATTATTATTGTTATAATTATTATTATTTTTATCATAACAGTCTGGACATATGAGGTATTATGAAGCAATAAAACCCCCAAATAAAACAATATATAATTTTGAAGTGAGTGAGTAAGCAAGCGGTTGGCGTAAGTGCGACTGAACTAATTCACACGTCTGGTTTTTATTGAATCTTTCAAGGTAGGAAAGCCTAGTAAAAGCAAGCACAACATCCTCCCAAGTGGCAGCCTGCAGTTCAAAGCCCTCAGCAAAGAGGATCACGGAGAATGGGAATGCGTTGCGACTAATGTTGTTACAAGCATCACTGCCAGCACACATCTGACCGTAATCGGTAGGTAATCTCGCCTCGGTAAAGCGTCAAGCTTGCTTCATCCACATGCATTTAGGATTGTCCATCACACCGAACCAGGTTTGTGTGGAACCACCTGCATGTGGTCTAACCAACTTAGTCACCTTTGGCAGACCGCTTTTTCCGGGGGGGGGTAATCGTCCCTTCAACAAAAAAAATGATAATAATTTGATCTCTCAACCCGCGACTGTTTGTGTGCGCAATTGGCTGCTGCGTTTCGCCCACAAAGACTCACAGTCACTACACCCTACAGTGTATTCTGTGAAGGGCTTTGAGATGTCTCAACGACGTGATAAGGCGCTGTATCAATTGCGGCGATTATGATTATGTTATTATATGCGTGGACCCCAACCAAAGCATTGTATTGTAGCAGGACTTCACGGTCCTCACGAGGTTGTCAGCGTCAGCCACTGTATATAAAGTGTTCTGATTTGACACTGGAATATTGGAGTGAATTGTCCAGGTTTCCTCGTCTCTAGCCTATGTCAAAGCGCAGTTGGCTCTTCCTGATATTGCCGTGAGAAGTGACCCCGCTATCTTCCGTCAGAAAGACTCCTTACATCAAGGAGTCTTTCTGATACAGACCGGTCATTATCCGCACGGGGTTTGATGAGACGCGAGAGAGGAACTCTTCAACAACAAAGGCTTTCAGTTTAATTTCACACTTGCCTGAGCGGTGTCCGAGTCTTGTCCCTCTGACATTTTATGCAGCCTCCAACGTGTTGTTTACCCGAGTGTGTAGCTGCCGGAATGTCGATGAGAGTTTCCTAACCAGGGCATTGGCAGTAAATTCTTTTCCTCGGCTCTGTGGAGCGTAAGTCCAGAGTGATTTAGAAGGTTGAAACGTTACGAGTTGTTTTATGTGGTTGTTGGCTATGTTTGGTCCCACAGTTTGCTTGCTCACTCGTAATTAGAATCACCTCCCTGGGTTTACGCAACGGAAATAATTTCAAGAACAATTCCAGCTCTTGAAAGTGCGAGAGGCGAGAGAGTGTGTGTGTGTGTGTGAGTCTTCAAGACGCCTCACAGCGCTTCACAGTAAAGTGAATGGACTGTACGTTTTGTGGGCGAAACGCAGGAGCCAACTGCGCGCAGCGGCGTCCCCACCCTGTGTCGAATGCAAGGATTACTATTATTATGTACTGACAGAGTGGGGCGGGCTGGGGGAGGAGGGGAGGATATGTGTCTACTCCATGTCTGTGCGATCTCTGTCTTTGTTCCTGATCATTTCTAGGCACAAGTCCATACGCTCCAATGGACGTTCGAGTCACAGCCACAATGACCTCAACTAACATCTCCTGGGACCCGGCGTACGATGGTGGATATGAGCAGACATTCACAGTCTGGTATGGCCTTGTGTGAGTCATTCCAGCATGCTTTGCTTTCCACCCTTTCCTTCTCAAATTCTTTGCTTACAAAGGAATGTTGTCTCTGTATGCGTTTAGGCTTTGACAATGATTTGCTTCTCAGTTGTAAAGCTGCAGGCTGCTGATTCGCAGGAAAAAGACTACTGGTTGGCTCCAATAGATCTTGGGGCTCGCTTGGGCTCACTAACTCCCTCCACATTTCGTTTGTCCTTCACCGTACCTTTCTGGTCGAGTTTCCCTGCTGTTCTCACAGGAGAGTGGCACGCTTTAACCTTAACCTTCTTAACAGTGAAACTCTCAGAGCCCACTGTGAGCTGAAGAACGTAAGAACGTAAGAAATGCTAGACGAGAAAAGACCAAGGGCCATCTAGTTCGCCTTCCACCTTCCTGGCGGTCGCCTGCGCACATGTCCCAAACTCCCTATGTACTGTAACCCATAATAAGAACGTCAGAGAACCTTCACCATTCAGTAAACATTTATCACCTCTGTCTGCGTTAGATTCAAGCCTCGATTCCAGGGAACACTACTCCAGCTCCATGTTCTAACACACTTCACCAGTCATTTCCTTGTACACTTAATCCTTGCCGTGTAAAACTGCGTCTCTTAAAAGTCAACGTACTGCTGGAAGCAGCACCTCCACACTGACCCAGGCTATGACTCCAGCTGAGAGTTGTGTGTGCGTGTGCGGACAGGACCGACCACAGCTGTGACGTGCTCCCAGATGGAATAGTTTGTTAACATTCACTGCTCAAGCTCACATGTCAGGAATGACCCCTGGGGTAGCGTAACAGAGGTCAGAGACCTTATCTCTTCAGGTGGGGGTGGGAAATGGTGGGGGGGGGGAAAAGTCAAGTTTAAGTTGATTAAGCTGGTTCAGGTTAGCTCATGTTGCAGCAAATGCACTGTGTAAGGACATACCTAGCCATCAATAATAATAATAATAATAATCCTTGCATTTAATATAGCGCCTTATCATGTCTTCGAGACGCCTCAAAGCGCTTCACAGGATATGCTGTGAAAAAAGTAATAATAATTTGGTCACTCAATCCACGACTGTTTGTGGGGACTCTGCTGTGCGCAATTGGCTGCCATGTTTCGCCCACAAAATATATAGTCAATTCACTTTACAGCATATTCCGTGAAGCGCTTTGAGACGGCTCAACGATGTGATAAGGGGCTTTATCAAATGCAAGGATTATTATTATTTAATATGATACTCTTGAGTGAATCGACTATATTTTGTGAGCAACACAACTGCTCTGATGCCGTTGTCCCAAATGCGCTGCTCCGCGCGATGGGCCATTTCGAAGTCTCCCAAAATAGTAACAGTAAGCTTCACGATCCAAAGGGCAGCGCAGTGAACAGTGGGGCCCGGCGAGCAAACTGTGAAACTCTTCCGGGACCGTGAATGCTTCATTCAAATCAACGTTACGACTGGGTGGTAAAGCTGTCCGACTGCACCTCACACAACCGTCAGATCAGCATCCAGCAGCCCATTAGCCTGCAATCGCTCACGGCCAGGGTGTGCTTGCTGGCCTCCCATCTAAAAGAAGTTAGCTGCAGGTGTAAATCAAAGCGGGGAAAAAAAATCTTCCATGTAAGCATTGTCCACAACCCGACCGCATCTCCCACCGCTACAATACAACTGCAGATTAAAAGCAATCCTCTTCCAAAGTACAAACCAGTCTGACTGGAAGCTCCAATGATAAATTCAGAAAAAGGACTAATAATAATAATAATAATGATCCTTGCATTTGATGTAATGCCTTATCAGGTCTTCGAGATGCCTTATCGGGTCCTCAAAGCGCTTCACAGAATATACTATAAAGTGAATTGACTGTGTATATTGTGAGCAAAAAAAAAGGAAATATCTATCGGAGGTCGAACAATGTTTTTTCTTAAAAACAGAGTCTCGAAACCAGAATGAACTGGGATGAGATCAGCAACGAGAGCTTGTCATTCAAAGTCCCCGTGTGCTAATGATGCACTTCATCGACCAAAAGATTTTCGCTCAAAAGTTAACGCAACCTCCTGCATTTTTTTCTCTCTCTCTCTCTCTCTCTCTCCCTTTCTCCCTCCATCTAATTTAGCATAAATAGAAGTGGCCAAAGTCAGAGTGATTCACAGGCTGTTCACGTAATGACTTTCACAGTAGTGAGTATGCAGGAATTCAAAGTCTTGCCTCTGTCATCTCAATATCGGTGTCGGGCTGATCTGAAAAGGAAGCTTCTTACAAACAGAGGAGCTGCAGAAAGCTCAGAGATCCTTACGTAGAAATGACAGAGAACTAGATTTCAAACCTGAAACTATGGAAGAGGAAAAGGCCGACAACTTGCGTTCGTACAGCGAACTTTCACGTCCCGGAGCACTTGACAGTGGCGGAGTCTGACCCCGAGAGAGGGGGAGAGGAAGGGGCGATGTGATCGAAAGCACGATCAAAAATGAAGGGCTTTAGTGAGGGGGCACCAGTTTATAATCCCTCGAATCTCATTGTTCCTCTTAAATCTATGCTTATTTGAGCACTGCATTTGTCTCCCAAGGCTCCTGTAACACCACCCCGATTAGATCATTTGGACTCCTAATTTAAGAGCTTATTTCCACTAAGGCCTGCTCGCCAACAACAAAACTGGCGTTCTTCTCACAAAGCGGTTCACGGGAGTTCGGTGTCGAGTGCCACAGACATAAGGTGGCGCATATAACACTCTGGGAAGACACTCCACGAGTTCTATTTAGCCAAACGGCATACTCATTACACTCACTGCTCCTGATTGACGCGTTCATCTGCAGGCTGCAAACCAGATGCCATTCGGCAGCTCTCGGCCAAGCTCGTCCCGAGGAAGCCCGAAGAACAAGGGCTGACACATGCGGAAACCCATCACTGTCTCTTAAGAGCCTCCAAACCAAGCTGAGATTTCCATGCATCCCACCTGCCCACGGAAATCGCAGAGATAGATTGTCGCACTCACTCACTCCCGAGAGGCTCGCATTCCTGCTTACCTCCGGGAAGTATTAGGCGCAGGTTGGCAGGAGCCGAGGCTTGGGGACGAGATTGGGAGGAAGAAATCTGTCATATGATTGAGAAGCTTCCAGCCCTACAGTGACGAGTCAAAAAATAGGACGCAGTCGTTCAGTAGGAGCCAGATCAGGACTGGGAACACAAGCAGAATGGAATAGCCTAGTTAACAGAGGTGTTAGCTTGTGTGTTCCCAGCCTGTGTGTTAACTGCGGTATCTCATTCAGCACCGACACCTTCACAGCCAGGAGAGTTTGCACTGCCGCAGCTGCAGTCTCTGGCGCAACCCAAACTAATGTGATGCGTGACTTTCATTTCGCTATCTTCCATTTTCTTGAAACACAAAGCTTTCCTTCCGAACAGCACGATGATTTACATCAGCCGACATGCCACGCTGCAGGTGGTGTGTTCACATCCAATAAATAATTCGCAAGTCTCTTTAAACGGGATGAAGGTTCCTCTTTACCTTAGCTCAAAAGCAAAAACCTCTAACGAGTCAAATTCATTAAGATTTTGGTATGCCGTTGATTCCTCATCTAATTGATACAGATGAATGCTCCAATGCCTTTTAATGTATTTCAGCCCAGTGATTTCCAGGGGAGCCCACAGTATGATATATTGCTATCTAATATATTGCAGTTCTTCCTATTCCTACATTTTCTGCATTGCACGTAGTTTTTTGGATTTGATTTTCATTACTAACCCTTTCATTAGCTCTAATCTATAGCATACACTGGGTAAAAGTTGACCTTGGTGAAACATCTTACGCGAATAGAATGCAATACAAACTTTGCCGTTTGTGCAAGAGACGTGCACTCTTTCCGCCTCTCCGAGACTCAATGAATCCTGGCTCCTCCTTTGCCACCCGGTCCCATTCGCAGATATCAACTGCTCTTCATTTGATGGGCACAAATGTGCTCAGTCTCCAATAATAATAATAATAATAATAATAATCCTTGCGTTTGATACAGCGCCTTATCACGTCTTTGAGACGTCTCAAAGCGCTTCACAGGATATACTGTCAAGTGAATTGACGGTATATTTTGTGGGCGAAATATTCGTGTCCATGAATTCTACATATAACAATAATCATAATAATCCTTGCATTTGATATAGCGCTTTTGACATCTTCCAGACGTCTCAAAGCGCTTCGCAGAATATACTGCAAAGTGAATTGACTGTATATTTGTGGGCGAAACATATGAATGAACTGCAAGCTTTTACCCAGTGTGTTCTGTATATGCAAGCTTGAGCTAAGCACCTTCACCAGAGCCAGCCATTTAAATAACCAATCTGCTGGTACCGATTAGTTTCTTCCAATTGCTGTAAAATCACAAAATGTTTATTTTGCTACAGAATTCTGTGCATCAAGCGTATGAGAAATGCAGCCAGGGATGAATTGTAGGAGCGGTTTGCCACAAAGGTGGCCCCCAATAATATTTCCCCCATTACCCCTCCCCCCCCCACCCCCCCACACCCACACCGCAAGGAGGAATCACTGAGCTGGCAGCGTCAGGGTTCACAAATCATAATATTCTTCAAATAAAAATAAAAATAGAAATTAAATGTATGATGAGAGCCCTTCTGTTTGAAATCTTGATTCCACAATATCAGTTCAGGCACTGTTTATTTTCTTGACCCTCCTCACTGGCTCCTCCTGCTTTCCCATGGGTTCCTCCCACTGGATCCCCCACTCCCTCGCTGGCCCCTCCCATTTCCCCCCTTCTCCCACTGACTCCTCCCCTCCTCCCACTCTCCCTCTCCATTAGAATAGCCCATAAACCCTCATGATTTCTCGTAACCTTAGCCTTAAAAGCCATTAAAATTGAGATACGTCCGAGTGGGAACGAGGGAGTGCGTGGACAGGAACGCTCCGGTTATCGGAGCGCGAACCAAGGTTTCGAAAGAAGAGCGTTAAGAGCAGTCAAACAGGGTGTAGAAAAGGCAAATACCTTTAATGCAAAAATTCTGTTACCGTCTTTCGTGCCAGATTGGTTCCACTCACTCCGAGCCGAGCACCGACGCAGCAGATAATGCTAACTATCTAGTTTTGCGTTTGCCACAGGGTAAAGAGAGCTATGCTGGGACCCCATGACTGGCGATCACTCCCTGTCACCACTGGCCTGACCTGGCTCCTGGTGGAAGGTCTGGAGCCTGAGACTGCATACCAATTCAGTGTGTTAGCACACAACAAGCTGGGCACAGGCCCCTTCAGTGAGGTCATCACTGTGAACACACTGGGTGAGTAGGTACAAAGTGTGCTCAACGTGAGCCAAGTCAACCCTTTTTTTTTTTTAATGACACTGTTGTGCTTCAACTACGTGCAAAACACAGTCGACAACAACAACACATTACATTGGGAGGACGCCAGGGGATTTGGACCCGAGCAGGGGGTTGGGATCGGGTGGGATGGAGGGCAGCGAGAGTAGGAGATGGAGATGGAGATTCCACAGAGTAAGTAAAGCTGATGATAGCTGGAAAGGGAGAAAAATTGGGTGGGGCGGGGTGGTGGGGGCCATTCATATAATACTTTTCGAGAACCCAAGTGTGTAAGGCAGGGCATAACCAAAAGGAACACACTATCAGCCAACTGGAGCATAAGAACATAAGACGAAAAAAAGACCAAGATCCATCTGGTTCACCTTCCACCATCCTGACACGTCGTGTCCCAAACTGTACACCGTATCCCGAGATATCGTCTTCCAGCAGATACCTCTCTCTACTGGAATGTGGGGTGCAGAAAGATATATAATCCTGCTTGTTCTTTCAGCTTTTCCCATTACCACGCGAGAACCACTGGTGCTGCTTTCTCCACCAAGGTGCCTAACAGCTAACCGGACACAACAAGGGGTGTTGCTGTCTTGGATCTCACCAGCCAACCATACTTATCCGATCGACCGTTATATCATGGAGTTCCGTCTGGGGGACAAGTGGGATATTCTGGACGAGGACATCCCCGGGAGCGAAACCGAGCTGCTGACCAAGGAGTTGAATGTGGTAAGATATGAGAAATCCGGTTACAAAGGTAATATCGCTTCGATATTTGCAGTGAGTACAGGGAATAAGTTGGTCACTCAACCCACGACTGTTTGCGGGACGCTGCTGTGTGCAATTGACTGCCTTGTTTCACCCACAAAATATACAGTCAACTCGCTTTGCAGTAGTTACAGTATATTCAGTGAAGCGCTTTGAGACGTCTCAAAGACGTGATCAGGCGCAATATCGAATGCAAGTATTATTATTATCTCTTTGCTTTACAAAAGCAAAGTATGATGGCATTTAGCCAACGTTTTTCCCGAGAAAAAAAATGTTTCTTTCACGTCGATTAAGACGAAGTGATTTTGGTGTGCGATGTTATAGTTTACACAAATCCAATTCATATCTTTTTTACTATTTCTTTCTGTCAGGACTCCTGGTATGAATTTCACATAATAGCTGTCATGCAGGAGCTCATCAGTGAGCCCAGTAATGTGGTTGGTGTATCTAGTTCAGGTGAGAAACTTATTGATTAAATAAACACATTTTAAATAAAAAATTGGTCGCTCAATCCACGACTGTTTGTGGGACGCGCAGACGTGATAAGGCGCTGTATCAAATGCAAGGATTATTATTATTATTATACTAAGGTCAAAGGTGCCCGTTTCTGGTTCGTGTGAAAAAAATAACTCAGCAAAGAGACACTCCAATTGGTATGAATTGTTTCAAGGGACCCGCAATTCATACGTCCAAGTCACTTGCGTTAAAACGACTTCCACCAGTGCTGTAACAATCCGTGTTGTCAGGGAATCAAGTGATGAAATGTTAGAGCCGTCATTCACTGTTGATTTTTACGTTCTCCTCTTTTAGATATCTTCTCACCGGCTGATTTGCCAGAGGAAGGTTTGGCTCGGCCGGTGGTGGCCGGGATCGTTGCCACCATCTGCTTCCTCGCTGCTGCTGTTCTGTTTAGCACACTGGCCGCTTGTTTTGTCAACAGGCAGCGGCGGCGGAAGAATAAGAGAAAGAGGGGTAGGTAGGAGCTTTCCTTCAAGTGTGCGGTGACGTCGAAAGGATCGTTTCGCTCACAAAATACGCAGTCAATTCGCTTTACAGTCTATTCTCTGAAGCGCTTTGAGACGTCTCGAAGACGTGAAAAGGCGCTGTATCAAATGCAAGGATTATTATTATTGTTATTATTCAGTGTGTGACTTGCCAATTTAAGTGCAAAGGTGCCACAGTGGGACTTGCGTTTCAGGCATCATCTCACAGTGTACCAGACTTCTGGCATCCATCCAAATACCCAAAGGGTATTTGGGTGGAACTGAGAAAATATCTGCGTACAAGTTTCGCAGAGTTTCACAGTGAAAACTCCCTCTAGGATGTACGATTCGCCCACAAAACACAAAGTCACTACACTTTACAATATATCCTGTGAAGTGCTTTGAGACTTCTCAAAGACGTGATGAGGCGCTATATCAAAGGCAAGCTTTATTATTATTATTATTATTATTATTACTACCCCCCTCACCCTTTTTCTATCTGACATCTTGGAGGACATGTGCCCACAGTTTGACTTTGATAAGAATCAGCCATGACATGAAATCCTTCAGTTTGATAGATGCCAAATCTTGTTATTCTGCTGCAGAGATAAATTGGGCTTGTTGGATGGATATAATGGTTGGTAATGGTTCACCAGGTTTCGATGCCGAGGTTCACACACAAAGAATGACTACTTAGGTAAAGGAATTAGAAGATTATACGAGCTACAACCAATCGCGAGTTCCTGCCTCGGGGAGAGAAACAGCTTCGCTGTTTGTCTTCTATTTGCCACATTAGTCATTCTAATGGCATTCTGATTCCTAGGGATATTGGCTCCTTCTGAGGAGATTGGATGACACAGTTTATTAAGTTGATCCTCAGTTTAATTGACATGGTTTCACAAACAGTCAGAAAAAATCTCCTCTCTCTGACGATGATTAAAATTCCCTTGGAATTACTATGAGGAGTCTCAGTTCCGTTGCCAGTAGATTTGTGCCCAGCACCAAACTATTGTCAAGTGTAATCTCACTCAGAGGGGCTCCAAAAATGTTCAAGAATTCAAAGTGACACAGGCATTATATACGGTCTTGTTTTGAGCCACATTATTAAGGCATCGAGGTGCATTATATCAAGGACATGCAGGACGTATTCTGAATTTCATACCAGAGTTTCCATAATTAACCTTTTGCCGCTAACTTTAGTCGCAGAATTTGCTCCTTTTCCCAACACAATTGCGCTCAGTAAATTTTACAACAAAACCGGATTGAGAGAGAAATTCATTGGATGTGTGGGGGCGCGTGTGTGCATATTTTCTCCTCCATTTTTCCAAATTTTCCTGAAGATATGTAAACTAAAATGTTGGGCACGTTTCCTTACTCCACACACACACCTCCGTTTACCCGGCAGTAAGCAGGAACCCGGTTGTTAGTCGATTGGCGGATCGCTTTTCCGGGGGTAATAAGCTCTTAAAAAGGATTTCCTCTCCTCTAGATTGTTTTAGTGTTACATTTGCCCACCCCAGCTGTATAAAATGTAATGTATAATGTTGCATAACTTAATAAATGTCCGGGTTCCTTTGTAACTATTTCGTTGTCATTGTGCTCACTGTCTTGCAGATCCTCCACTTTCAATAACACACTGCAGAAAAGTGTGGAATCCCCGTAAGTAACACATCCCTCTTAAAATGACATCCATGTTCCTTCCTCGTGTGATGAATTGATGTTTGTGTTCATTTTCTGGGCATTGGCCTGGCTTTTTAGGTCTGAGCGAGACCAGCATTAGACCTTGTTTTACAATAATGTCAGAAAATACTGGGAATGTTTATCTAACGTCTTGAGTCAACGGTGATACCTTTGGTTATTGTATGAGTTGTAAGTGCATTGAATAGTTGAAAAAATTGTTAGAACCTATTCATATTATAAAATGCAAAATAAATTCCGATAATATTTGCAGTTTCCCTACAGGATACTGGAAGATATGTTCTCAAAACCTTTGAAACACTATAGTGACGTAGCTTTTTTCTTAAACAGATGCCCTGTTGAGCACTTTGGTTCAGTTCCATGTGAATACAGCACGAAACAGCCATTAATTCTGCACTAACGGCTAAGCTATTGCTTTAATAACACACATCAGTTGGTAGTATCATTACACGATAATTCCCTGACCATTATCCTAAATTGTGTTAGTTATGATATCTTACCTTAACTCACGGTGCAGTGCAATGTTTTCCGAACGAGTGTTGAAGAATCGCGAACCGCATTGTAAATTTTTCCATCTTCATAACCGAGTGCGTCGTGTGACGAAATGACTTGTTATTAATGAATAATGCCCAACGGCAGCCGCCAGATCTATAAAGTAAATGGGTTTCTTCACTGGCGAAAGTAGCAAATTTGTAGATGTGAATGTTTACAGGGTTACTGTTGCCTCTGATTTTGGTCTCTCAGATCTTCCTCAGGAAAGGTGAGTCCTGAAAGCATCAGAACACTACGAGCTCCGTCAGAGTCCTCCGAAGATGCCCAAGCCATACATACCAAGATGAGTCTTGAGAAGGAAAGGGAAATGTCCCTGTACAAAAAGACCAAGCGAGCAATAACCAGCAGGAAATACAGTGTCTCCAAGCACGAAGCTGAGGCTGAAGCCACGACCCCTATTGAACTAATCAGTAGAGGCCCCGATGGGCGTTTCATCATGGATCCCATGGAAATAGAGACGTCACTGAAGACGAGGAGGATCGAGGGATTTCCCTTTGCCGAAGAGACGGACACCTATCCCGAGTTCCGGCAGTCCGATGAAGAGAATGATGAGACTGTAACTTCAAGCACTATAATGGGTTTGAAGTCTCAGCTTTCACCTCTTTCATCGAGTCAGGAATCCTACTTACAGCCACCAGCATACAGCCCACGATTCCAGAAACCAGAGGGAGGGATAAATAGCAGACTGCAGGCCACAGGTCAGATTAGGCGACCTCCTAAAGGGTACCCTCAAGGTCAGTTTTATAGCTATCTCACCACTAGCTCCGTAGACCCAGATGGACAGCCATTTTACATGCCAGATATCAGTCCCCTCAGTTCAGTAATGTCATCACCTCCACCTCTTCGCGAAGGACCTTACGGTCAGCCCACCCTCCCAGAGGGTCACGGAGAGATCGAAATACAACATTTGGTCGCTTCTAGTAGCACTTTGCCTTTGACACACACGCCAACCGCTCTGCGATCTCCCGATCCATGGAGAAGGAAGGAGTTGTCTATCAGCAGCATAGAAAGTTCTCCAGTGATGTTCTCACACCACCAGGAAACGTCGGAGAGTACACTGCCAAAGGCTGGTCTTCCAAGGGGTGGTCCCCCTTCCTCGCTCCAGGTTCCGGCACCTTACCATAGCGTGCTGCATCTGGAGGAACCAAAGAGTTGGACTAGCAAATCTCCCAGCAAAACAAAAGGATCCGTGTCTCTCGCTCCCAAACAACCAGGTCAACCTATGCAACAGACCAGTCAAGGGCAGCTAAAGCATACCAGCCATGGTATGGGTGCACCCACATTGCCTTATACTGAATCGGCCAAACAGGCTGGTCCTAGTGGCACAAGCACATTCAGTCTGGACACCAGGTGGTATGAACCTAGGCCCAGGCCCCGAGCCAGCCCCAGGCAAGGCAGAAGGACTGAGGCCAGTTTACACCAGGTGGTTCTACAGCCTTCCCGGCTTTCCCCTTTGAGTCAAAGCCCTATGAGTTCCCATCACGTCTCCCCAGAGATCTCATCCCGCCCGAGGCCTCGGCCTAGTTTCCTGCAGCACCCTCACAGCATCTTCCCTGCAGGTGTCTCTGTGGAGATGTCAGAAATTACCCTTCAGCCTCCCACTGCTGTTAGTTTATCTAGAAGGTCCTCTCCGTCCTCCTCACCAGCACAAAGCAGCACTGCTGGGCAGGGCAGCAGACGAGGAAGTCCCAGTTATAGACCTCCTCTGGCACTGACACCTTCGTCGAGCAGCTACACAGGATCCCCTTCTCCTGCAACTGAACGCAGCGAGTTTTATAGTCAAATCCCTTCCCAAAGGAGGAGAAGTGAAGACATCCCTCCTTTCGAACACCCACCTTCACACTTATCTACTTCAGGGTAGGTATTTGAAGAAGACCGTAATGTACAAAAAAATGTTGATCCAGATTAGTTGAAAAAGCAGTTTGGCTTCTTCCATAGTGTTAGGTGTGAAATGATTGTGTTGAAATATTAGAATAAAACCCTATAAATACAGAAACTAAATATAAAGTCACTTGCCATTATAGTTAATTTGTGTTAGTAATAAAACTGAGAAGAGCGACTGGACATCAGGAATTGTACGGCGTTCTATCAGCTCAGATATTGTGAAGAAATGTGTTTGTGCTGACGTTCTTAGAATTGCACCCAGAGAGAAGCATTTTAATTTCAGTTCCCGCAAGAATACAGAGCTCGAGTTCGAAACATCCATTTTCCATCAATGTTATTTGCACCAATTTGACAGAAACATTCTGATGCGTTGTCAGTCGTAGAATACTATAATTGTAGACTTTCGTCAGTCTTTATTGGGTGAAGTACCACACGGCAGAAGTGGTTGAATCCGATCGGAGAGTTTTGAGGTCTTGAAAAGAGGCTTTAGCGAGATAATCCAAATCAGACAGTGGTCTGTTGTCAAACTGAAGGTGATTCCTTGGAACAGCTCCGAGAAAGGGAATGAATAACGGTGTTGTGGTATTGACCTCGCACTCAAAGTGGTTTTTAGAAGCCTAGGTCAGTGATATGAAATGTTTGACACTGACATTTCAGCTCCAGTGTTGTGGAGATTTCCTTAAAACCAGATAATGCAAATTGTTCTTTTCACTTTATGACTGGAAGTTCTAGATTACTCCTAATTGCAGAATCTGGTTAAGTATGATGGTGTATTTTATGGGGTATAAATAATATCAGCGTGGGGCAGTGGGGGGGGGGGGAGGGATTTCCAAGGAAATAGCAACCTGAGCATAACTAAAAATGTTGTTATTTCAGCAATTACAGTGTCAGGGTTTCATTTCGTTTTGCAAAATGTGAATGAATAAAAATTGGGGGAAAAAAAAGAGTAAAAGGGAAGTATGCGAACCCTAAATGGCAAAGGTGACATTGAGGAACAGAAACATTCGAGAGTTGCGGTTATTTTGTTTTTCAAGGCAGAAATGTGGGTAGAAGAAGCCTTAAAAATACTAATGGGATTCTGGATCTTATATACACGAGCACAGAATACAAACGTGTGATGTTAAATTTATATTTATATATAAAGTTGCACTGCAGTTGGAGTATTGTGTGCAGTTCTGGACACACCGTTAGTTATAGCAAGGTCACCAGAGCTATATAGAGAGAGAGGACAAGTGCACAAGAATGACACCAGGAATAATGGGTTGTTTTCAGAGGCTTGAACCTAATTCAGGCTTTTTCACCGGAGCAGAGAAGGCTTTGAGATGATCTAACACAGATTCTTAAAAAATTTCAAAAGGTTTTGGTGAGGATAGATAGTGAAAGATTATTTTCACTGATAAATCAATAAATAGGGGCAAAAGGCAAAATATCGCAGATGCTAGAAACCTGGAATAACAGAAGTCGCCGGGAGCGCTCAGCAGGTCAGGCGGCATCTATGGAGAGAGGAAAGGGAGTTAACGATTCAGGTCGATGAGCTTTCGTCAGAACCGTTCTGAATAAGTAGAAACATATGGTCAGGATTGTCACTGCAAGAGTTAATAGGAAGTCAGAAGAAACATTTGCAGACAAATAATCATTGGAACCTAGTGGCTTTGCTATTAGTAAATATTGAGACAGAGACCATAACAGTGTTTAAAAAGGACTGAAAGCATTTGAAGAGGAACAAGATAAAATGCATCAGGAAGGAGCGGGGAATTAAGATCAGAGTAGATAGCTCCAGCGGAGGACTGGCAAGGAAATGTGCTTAATGGGCCAAGTGACCTCCTTCTGTGCTGTAATTTCTGTCATTATTTTACAAAGCCTTCCAACTCTACAGGTTAAAAGCACAACACAGTGCTGATTCCATTAGGGAATCTTGTATTATTACAAGTGATAACATGATTATTACAAGTGATAACTATCCGGGTGTAGAATAACATTGAAATGATGGATGAAGAATAATGCCCCTATGGGGATGTATTATTACAAGTGATAACATGAGCCTGACAGTGTAACAGTGATTGAGCTGTGGTTCCTATTTGATGATATTTCCCTTTCACTCTCACTTGTGAGTTACCTGCAACCTCACTGCTCACAAACTTGATCAGAACAGACCAGAAACAGGTCATTGTAAGAAAAAAAATAATGACGGAGCCAGCTTCAGTAGCCCATAGTCTTAAGCTTTGTGCATTTCGTCGGACTTAATTTGAATTTGAAATGTATCAAAAGTACTTAAAAGACCGATTGACCACAAAATATCCTCGGAAAAGCCAGTTCAGAACCTTTCTATTTGACAGTCCTATATATAAATAGATAAGCTATTGACAATTCCAACTGCTAATTACTTAAGATATGTATATATTGATGCACATATTAATATGTCAAGGCTAGATTTTTAGTCAAAGTATTGATGCATTCAACATCTTACCAAACTTTCAATGTAAAATTTTGCTGATTCTAGTACTATCTTTTTTTTCTATTTCTTTTACACACAGAAGTACATTTGTGCATATATGCACATATACACTCACAAACATATACGGATACCTGCGCCCCTCCAAGACGAGAAAATACTTACACAAAGACGAGAGAGACTCATCTGCTCCATGGGTCCAACCATTAGACCCTGGAAGGTACAAAGCCACAGAAAGTAGTAAATAAAATGGAGGGTTTTTCATCAATCAGCAAAAAAGGAGCCTCAAATTTTATGTTGAGTTCAGCTTTCCTTTGACCTTTTTTTTAATAACAGCAACTATATTTTTTGCTTTATTACAAGGATCCAGAATTGGACTCCTATAATAATAATAATAATAACAATAATCCTTACATTTGATATAGCACCTTATCACGTCCTCGAGACGTCTCAAAGCGTTTCACAGAACATACTGCAAAGTGAATTGACTGTGAATTAAATTGTGGGCCAAACGCAGCAGCCAATTGCACACAACAGTGTCCCACAAACAGTCGTGGATTGAGTGACCAAATTATTATTATTATTATTTTTTTGGTAGGAAGGGAAGGCTGAAACTACACTGGTAGAGGGTCTGCTTGTCTCACTGCAGGTACATCTCTCTTGGTGGTTAATGAGAATGCTCTCAGTTGCTGACATGGAGAAATCTATGCCTGGCCAGACTTGTAGTAAATCTAGATGCCACCAAATGGATCTGCAGAGAAGGAAAATGGAGAATGGGCTTTAAGAATTTCAACTGCAAAAGTGGACTCACCAAAAGAATGAATGGATGAAGGAATAATAATAATAATCCTTGCATTTGGTATATAGCGCCTCATCACGTCTTCTAGACGTCTCAAAGCGCTTCACAGAATATACCGTAAAGTGAATTGACTGTGTATTTTGAATTGAACGGGTGAACGCTGCTTCAAACGGGTTTGCTCTTAGGGTTCAGCAGCTTCCTAAAACTCGAGATTCCTTTGCAGGAAATTGGTAACTCAATGATTCGGTGGTAATTAGAGCCCTCACCTATGGCCTCGGACGCATTTTTCAACCCAGCTCATTGTCTGCTGGAGTCCTGGGTATTCAGCACCTCCTCAGCTCCGCTGAACCAGTGAAAGGAAGCAGGGAAAACAAATGTTTATCCCCAGCATCCATAGGAACAGCAGCAGGGCGTCAATAAAATGCTAAAGTCTCATAACTATTGGTCCCATGCTCCCTCCCACCCACTTCCCTGCGAGAAAGTGCCTGGCTTCTACTTAGCGACTGCCCACAGTGGAATGATTGAAATATTGGACCCCGCTCACATCCTGAAGTACTGCTTAGTCTCCCGAGGCCCAAACATTAGTGACTAACACTGCCCGTGAGCTGAAATAAGGAGGCATTTCAAACCGTTGTGAATGTTATTCTCATTCGAACGGGATGGTGAAGTGCTTTTCCTTTTGCACACCCTCCTGGATCTGGTTTCGACAACTGCTCCTACCTTCACCCCCCCCCGTGCCGACAGATCCAATGCAAACGACGTGAAAAGGAAACCGAGGAGGATTAGCGTGGTGTAGCTAACCTTTAAAGCCGATTCCTCTGATTGTTGTTTTTTAAACTTCCACATCCTCTCCTACTTTTTCAGGTATGCATTCGAAAACCCATAATACATTCACATATGCCTCAGCTTTGCTCTCGATGAGATCCACCACACACTGATCTCTTAAAATAGCGATCTTTCATTTGTTCTTACAATTGAATCTCCTATTCTAAAGAGTTCATGTAAATATTGCTGTTTTGGGTGATGGGTGTGTGATAGAACCCCCTAAGATATTTCTCCTGCTATTTATTAAACAATATCACTTACTTACAATTAATATGTTTAAACCAGTTAAAGATCAATTAATGATCTTTAAAATTAAGTCAATTAAAAATTTAATGATTTTCAGGAAGAGGCAATGGAGCGGATCTTTCCCAGTGATATCTTTATATCTAGTCTTAATTGATAAGAAGTGCTCAAGGGAGAAATTCTTCTTGCTGGCTCAGGATAAAGGTTCTGACCATGTTCAAACCGCAAAAGGGATTTTTTTTCATTTAAATGCATATTTTAATAACATGCAGTCGGAGGAATTTCACCCCGTTCAGTCAGATCCAACCTACCAACATCATCATCATATGAATAGTATCAGGAAGCAGTTGCTTCCAATCACATTCAGCTGTCTTGTCATAGAAATACCCTCAGCTGAACAAGAACCGAGTCATTCATTATTCAAGCTCTCTGATTGTCTGTGCTCATTCTGAAACCTTTAATTCACTTCTAAAATACCAACCAATAATGTTGTCCGTAAGCATAGACCAGGAGATGTTTTCGATATTTTAATTTGTCTACTTTCAAGATCGTAAATTTAGCTTTATTAATAGAAAGGTGATTTTTTTTATAGATAAGATCACAAATTGAGGAATCCCGGACGTAAACCAGTTTGATACACAGAATACTTCCACTAAAACAAATAACTTGTTTGCTCGTTTGCTCCTGATGCGTTGTGATATCACACTTCCTCTTGCAGTCTTTGTCTATCAAGTTAGGAGATTAATGGATTTACTGCTTCATTTCAATCTAATGAAAGTTGTCCTTATGCCTTACGCCTCAAAAATGCTTATGTATTGTAATTTGCAGTTGGTTATGATAGTGCAGCCCTAACTACAGCTTTTTGAAGTCTACCCCATTAGTTTTGAAAGTTGCTTTTCATTGGTGACTCATTAAGTTCATAAGGAGATTGTTAGATCTGAAAGCCTCAGTCTAAATTCACGTTGCCATGAGATTTATACCTACTCGTGTTTTGAGCCTGAGTTTAAGGTGCATACATTTTGGGACAATACAATACAAAATTACATTTGTATTGCTCCTTTCGTCTCGGGAGGACGTCCCAAGGCGCTGGACAGTCAGGGATTTGGACCCGAGCTGGGAGGTTGGGACCATGGAGTTTGGAGGTCAGGAAGGGCAAGGGTAGGAGGGCGGCTGAAGGCATTGTCGAAGAGGAGGGTCTTGAGATGTGCTTTGAAGGAGGTAAGGGAGGGAGTGAGACGAAGGGAATGTGGGGTGGAGTTCCAAAGGGTGGGGACAATGTTAGGAATTGAATCCTAACAGCAGGGAGAAGCTGAGCCGATCTAGTGGTCCCACTGCATTGGATCAGGTTCAGGCGGAAGCAACAGTAATGTGCAATGTTGGCATTATTCTGCAGAGTAATCTAGGCTAAAGTTTCACTTAGAAAAAGTCCCTCACGTCGAAATGGCAGTGAAAGGAAGTTATTCTTCTGTAGTACAATATAACGTGCTTCTGTTACATGTAACATTTCACTTTGTCGGATGATCTGTGTTGAGACTAAGGTTCATCATCTTCGTAAATCTCTGAAATTTAGACAAAAATATTAAATAATATCTAGCCGTCATTAAAAATGTCAGCGTTCGGCTTCAGAAGTGAGCAAAATGATACAAAAAATGAGAATTAATACTTCAATTTTTGCAAATATCCAATAAATATTTATTTGTTGAATTTATTAAATATTGCCCTTTACTGTATTTATTAAATACAGCCCAGCATTCCAATAGCAAGCCTGAGATAGAATTCAGCAATGGCTATATTTCTCCAGCACTCAGTCAGGGTATTCAACAAACTACTCTGGAATAGTGACATGCCTTACCTCCCAGGTGTTGGATGAGGAAGGATTAGCTAAATGGAGCCTGCCCTATGGGATAGCGAGCGCATGCTGCCAGCTAACATACAGAAAGATGCTGACATCAGCAGTGCTCAGCACCACAGTATACACAGGGCAATCCCGTTATAGCACAGTCACCGGAGTTAAAAGGGGGCGGAAAAAAATATCCGACTTGCAGGTCGTCAGATGACTGTTGACGTTACTTCTCTTAAGAGCTTAAGTGCTATGAGCAAGAAATGGCACTAAGATTCTTCATGAAATGCAGGGCACGAGAGGTGAGCTCATCGCAGGAAGCCACAAATGATCCCCTCTGTCAGCAAATACAAGACCAAGTGGTACAGACTCCATCCTGAAGTAAGGCGCTCAGTAACAGGGCTGCCTTGCAATAAACCCATAATAAAATAATTGATGCTGAATATGCTAGAGACAATTACACCACTTGCACTTTCGATAGTATTGTAAAAGCTTTTGACATCAGTTGACCCCAATTATAGTCGTGTTAGTGCACTTGTAATTATTTGCAAGTATTTCCTGTCCCCAGTTTAGCGTTCAGTCTTCACCAGAGACCAGGCAAGATTCTATTTCTCTTGGGTTCAATTTATGTCCTTATTCACACAGAAAAATAATTGCCTTTTCTCAGTTATGGTCAGAACTGAGCACAAAGGGTGTCACTGTCATATCGGTACTGAGACAACAACATATGTTCATTTGTATAGCACCTTGAAGGACATTCAATATGAATGTGTTTGATATTAACGTGAAATAAATTGCTTCATGGTAAAGATGTTGGAGGCAATGCTTGTGATTATGCAAAGCTGGTGGGAGGGGGGGGGGGGGGTGGTGTTCCTTAGACAGACAGACAATTAATTTTCTACCCAATTCTGAAATGATTCTATCACATCTCTGCCTAGTGCAATTTTCTTATATTATAGAAACTGTAATAATTCACTGTTCCTCGATCACTTGCTGGTAATTCCCATCTACTCCCAATTTCTGCTGTGAATTCTGAAGTGGTTACAATGAAGGCTTCATCCTGCCTTCAACTCTACGATCACCACTAAATATTTATCTTTAGTACGACTGATCTCTGCTCTTGGCAAGCGAGAATTTCCCGCAAAAGGGTATGATGCGGAACTATTTCCTCTGTCCGCCCACTTAAAAGGGAGCATAAAGAAAGGCAACATGAAGGTTGATGAAAACATGGTACTTGTTCAGCAAGGTCTGTCCAACCTGTTAAACATTTCCCTTTCATGGTCTACACAGGAGCTAAACACAATACTTTGAATAAGGTTTGCCCAGCGCTCATTTAACAGAAGGAACATTTCCTTTTATATTCAAGGCCAGCATCCAATTTGCCTTATTGATTTCTTTCTGCATGAGAAGAATATTTTTGAGGTTTATCATTTTATCAAGCTCAAGCAGGTGAACCAGATTCTCCTCTATGGCACAGAGGGTAAAGACGATGGAGAACAGAATTGAGTCCCTCAAATTCCTAAAGAGAGG